TCTGACCCTCCCCCCCCCCCCCATTTTTTTGTGAAATATGAACCCCCCCCCCATATTATTATTAACAGAGAGTACGAAAGCTATAAATTAACAGAATACGAAAGCTGAAAATTGCTGTTTCTTATCAGAAGTAACAAAGCACAAAGCTTATTGTGATTATTGGAAGGGAATCTGTCTCTGTTCTTTCTTTAGAGCTGCTCCCTGTGTTCAGTGGCCTATTTATCGGAGCCCACAACAGACATTTCCATGAGCGAGATCACCTCCTTCACAAATCCCTCAAGCACCCACAGCTATTTTAGACAGCAGTCATGTGCACATGAGCACAAAACACACAGCTGCATTTGGGTGTCATCTCAAGGTCTTCAGAATAAAGATGTGAAATAAACCCATATTTTTGGGGAGCCTTCTGTGTGAGTGCAAACCAGAGCTGGAATGTTGGAAATATCAATACCGGTAATCAGGACCTAGTAGCAATACTGTGATTAAAACCAGAACTGTTTTTATCCATACTTTCCAGTATTGAAGAAAATAAAAGTATTTAAAATAAACATGTTATCTTGAATTTTTATTATATATTAAACTCATCTAATGTATTCTGAGATTGCCTTCTCTGAGGATACATGCAATGCAGCCTTAAAATCTGGTTAAAATTAAGCAGCCTAGGAGGCAACATAATTAAATTACCTACATTTACACACCAAAAGCAAAATTAATAAGCTATAGGAAATGCAAATTCACGTCCGTACAATAGAGAGCTGCCATTCTGGATAAAAGAAGAACAGGATACAGGAGAAGCAAGGGCAAAACTCATTTCAGTAATAAACTTTAAAAAAAACTAAATACGGATGTCACCAAATCAGCAGCGTAGATGGACATGTGAAGCTCAAATTTTATTTGCTGGTACAACAATTCAACATTCATTGCAGAAAAAAGTTTTTTGGCAAGTAAATGTTCTTATTTGATGTGAGTAACACCATAAGAATCCATTGTTTCTATTCAGAAACTTTACGCTAAATATTTGCATTTGGTGTGAAAGGGCCTTTGCTACATCCATACTTTTTGGAACATAGCAACAGCCTAATTGAAAAATTTATTACATTTAGATTTTTGCAGATGAATTTATTCAACTTTTGATAAGAAAGAATTGCCTAATAAAGCTAAAAATCAAACTTAGCTCTCTGCTCTTTCTATTTGTTTTTCAAACAACAAATTATTACCAACAAGCTCATTGCTGACATCAGAACAGTTAAGCAGGCGAAGAAACGCTCCACTATGCTTCTCTGACACATTTTGCTACTAATCTAGAGATAACAATGCTGGTAACTAGTTACTAAAAGTGGAAAACTATGAAAGTGGGGCAGGGTTTCCCATACATTGACTTATTTGTGGCGGTCCGCCACAATATCAACACTGACCGCCACAAAGATTTTCCAAAATGCACTGCACGTTTCAAAATCAAAACGCGGCACTGGTGTTTTTATATAAAAGTATCTTTTTTTAAGGGAACCGATTGTCTTCAGAAAAGTTTTGATGTCATTTTCATTTAATCTTTCCTATAATGCCTGATAAAGTAGCATTCATGAACGCAGCTCTGTTTTGATTACAGCCGTGACCGGGGAAACCGCCGTTTCTGCCGCTCTGAAAGCGCCTCCTGCTGGCAGAGAATGAATTTGCACTTTCAATAAGCCCATCTGCTGTTTTATATTTACATTATACAGTATACATATATATTTCCCCAAGGGGAAGTGCTGCCACACATAGACTGTAAGTCTGTGGGAAACACTGTGGGGTATTAACCAACAGAATGGATGGCTGTTATTTCAGAGTGTAAGAGTAGCTGGCTCATGAGGCCCTGCTGTTGCATACTGCAAATGAGAACTACCCACAGGTCTCAACGTGCCTACAGGGTAGGCCTGGGCGATAAAACGGTATCGATGGTACACCATCATCGATAGAAAATTTTTTTAATATATTGCACGATAGTTTCACGCTTTTTCCATTTAAAGGCGCGTGTTATGAGTGACAAGTAGAGAGCCAACAGAACACACAAACACACGCCGAAATGAGTGTCGTGCCTGCCTGTGATGAGGAGACTGTGAATTAAAAAAAAGGGAATATTAGTCGAATTTAAAATAAAAATTTGCATTCAAATGAAAAAACAGTATATTTGAATTTTAGGTGTGCGTCAGGGAGCCTTATCAGTGGCGCACGAGATGCGGTGAGGATGATGTTGTTGCATTTTAATGTTTTTGTTAGTCTATATCCAGTTGAAACCACAAGAAGCGCCGCTGCTGCATTTCCCATTCCAAATATTAGAGAACTATAGAAGCTCAATGCGGAGAAGATATTCGTTAGGTTAAATCCAAAACCAAGCCATTCACACAGAACTGATATTCGACGCATTCTTGAGACGCACAACTATGACTGTTGCACTCGCGTCTCGCACAAGAGTTGAATAGAAAGCCATGTAAAGTTAAAAGAGGTTCAACTTTTAGAAAACATGTCTCGAGAATTTGTGGGGGTTTTATTCCATTAAAACTGCGTCTCATATGTTTTTACATTCAATCGTGTGATCGGCGCTTTGGCTATTTGTATTAAGCTATGCATATATACATGATGCTGTTTTGTTCATTATTGTTTATGCAATTTACGAAATCATATTTGATTTATAACTATTAGTTTAGACGTTATGTACTTTTTGGTAGACAGACGTTATTCTCATTGCATTGAATAAACCGTTTAATGAGGTGCATTATTTTGCTCATTGCACCCTCTTGTGGCCTCAGGAGACAGGCCAATTGTTTCCTTAATACTCATTTAATCTGCATATAAAATATAAGAAAGGAGATATTTGTTTACATTTTATTCTATTTTGTTTTATTTGTTATTTTGTTTGTTAAGACTAAAATAAGTTGTTGTTTGTCTTAATAAATTGGGTAAATTAAAAATACAGTGGTTAAATTTAAACCTTTTTTCTACTGCTCGCCATTTAAGAAAGGTTATAAAAAAATTGTCAATAATTATCGATACCGAACGATATGAAACATTATATCGTGATAATTTTTTTTTGTTATATCGCCCAGCCCTACTACAGGGTGACAAACTGTACTGTATATTACATTTACATACACTGAAAAATGTGCACCTACTAAAATTGTTAATGTTATTAATCTTCAAACCTGCAAATGGACTACTGCAAGCCACAGTATAGTAATCTTTGTAAAACAGAACACAAACTCCTTCCACATTCATGTGTATAGCCTGCCACAAAATAATGTTTTGCCTTGTAAACTTTAAGTAGCTTGGTATTTATACAATGTATTATTATTGTGTGGCCACAATAATAAAATGCTATTGAGTGTTAAGTCTGTGGTTCACACTTACTGCCATGACCAGTTCAAAAGGATGTTTGTACACCCTCACTGGGGACTGATACTTCTGCACCATGGTGGAGCCTACAATGGTGCTGACAACCTAAAAAGAAAAAAAGCCAGGAAAGCAATCAAACATTCCATCTTATGTAATAAACCCAGCAGATTTGGCCTGATTTCTCAGAATTAGTAATATTACATAATACACGTAAACAAGCACAGCATGTGGAAACACACCCATTTCTATAAGCAAATACCTACATTTGAGCAAAGAATGCAAGAATCTTAATCTTTAATATGTAATGAACAAATTGTCTAGTGGCATGTTGGAAGGTAAGGAATTTCAGAAATGTCCAGTTCAGGCAATTTTATGTTGATTTTGTTGCCTGATTTTACAAACAGATGTCAGAATAAGAAAATACTTTTTTGTATTTATGATAATAAATACAAAAAAGATTTATGTTGTAGACACAGAGCAATACAAACTATACTCTAACTTGAAACTAAATGCTTTTAAATTTTGATAACTTTTTTTATGTCCGTCCCAGTAACAAACCAAGTTAAATGTTATAACCGCAATCCTACCTGCCCAATGCCAACACAAACGGACTTGTGATTTGTTATTTCTATGGCATGTACTATGTGGATATCTTATTGGGCATGTAGGAAATACTTCCCTGAATCAAGGTACATCGTGCTTTACAGATAAAAATGGAAGCGTACAAAACTGGTAATTCAAGATTTAAAAAACACGCTACCCAATGATGAACTAGAACAGCTATATTACTGTCAATAATATCATACACCATACAAACACAGTGATCAATAACTGCTGCGATCACTAAGAAATAAAACCCATTCGTGTGAGTTACACTGACGTTAAACTGGATGAATCTGTTTATACTAGCATGTTCTGGGTGTGATCTGTGTAAAACAAAATGACAGCGACATAAAATAATCATGACTCAACGTGCGTTGTCTAAACCGAGAAACAATTTGTCATTATAGCATGTCAGCCATAAAACTGTCTCTTTAAATAATTGTAATGTCTGCTTATTTCTCCACATTTAAAACTTGTATATTATGAATAACATGTCTCAGCTCTGTAGCTAACGCAATTAGCCGGTTAGCACACCCAATACCGTCTCTTAACGTCCCTCACTTTAAACTCAAACACAAAACTCCTTTTATTTTATTCCTTAAATATGTGTTATTTAATACCTCTATAATTTAATATATCGTTATTAAAACAAGGCACATACATTCATTAACGTTTATTATGGGAGACGGATAACGTGCTAACTGTTTTAGCAAACAGAATTAACCAGTTTAGCGGTGATCTGCCAGTTGAAAATAACATTATTAAATTTTTACATTGTTCAAACAATATCTATTTCCATACGCATGTTGTAGCAGTGATTGAAGCTGTTTGTTTTTTGTCAACGTATTTTGTAAATGTACTTACTGAAACAAAATATGAGGAACTGAAAACAGATTAATTCGTAGCAGAAGATAAAGCAGTCCTTATGAATGTGAAAGATGTTCTGTAGGTTCTAGATGTTAGGATTTGTGGGTTCTGAAATATCCATAACTGAGGTGATCTCTCTGAGACCAAGTCCAGACTCACGGATCCACTGCTGCTGAATCTGCCCCATCATACACTGACTGGCCGCAGTGAAGAGAAAAACACTGCTCCGCCTCCTTGTCTCAGTATTTTTCCGAACAGTCTAGTTTTCTGTAGTTGTCATCGCCACCACGCGGCTGACCGATAAACAAACACCACAAGAAAATTCACCTCCGCAAACCTAGAACACATTCATGCATAGTTAACCATTTTTGGTTCCCAGAACGTTCTGAGAACGTTAGTTTTTTGTTCCCAGAATGTTCCCTTGTTGGTTTTATTTTTACAGACATTAAAAATGAATAACATTTATTTGACTTTAACTAGGATAACATTACATTCATTTCTTACCACTGAATTAGCGATGATGTGCTTCTCTTTTTTTGGTCAGTAAACAAAAAACTTCTGGGTTAACATCATGTTCTCTTCAATTAGACGTATCAAATCTTTCTGAAATCCCAATATTTACTCTCTTGTAAATATTAATTATAAGTAATTATTCAATAAAGAGATCAATAAACGAATGTTAGTCAGTCAGTGAAACAAAATGACCATTACATTTTAAATTAAGCGCGTGCGCGTCTTTCCGTGGAAGACAGGAAAAAGCGCGTGCTGGAGAAGAGCGCGCAGAGAGGGGCTGCGTTGAGAAATCGCGTTTACATACAAAACGCCTATTTGACGGCGTTTTAAACAATATTAGCGCCGTCAAATATGCCGTCCTGATAGCAGACGCCGTAAAAAATGCGCGTAAACCGTAAAAAACTCCGTGTTTCGGCTTGCCACAGGACGCGGTAAAAACGCCTTCTGATTGCACAACAGCGTGCGTTATTTACGGCGTTTTCCTTGTAGAATAATGAGTCTCGCCTGCTGATTTCCACAGCCAGTAATATTGAACTGTTCTCACCCAATCAATGATGAACAGAACCAGACCAGACTAATTTACCACAGATCGTTTTAGCAGAACAAGTGCCTGATAGGAAATATTAAGTAATTTTTGTATATTTTCATCTCTAAAAATATTGAACATAGGCCGATTCCACGTCTTTATCATACTTTAATGTAATTGTTAATTACATGGACAGCACTTTAGCATACAAACCCCTTGTTTATATATAATTTATTACACAAATACCTTTTATGTATATAAATAAGTACTGGTTTATAATATTCAATTAGCTTTGAGTAATTTAATTTCCAATACAAGAAATCGTTCATGCTAACGGAAGTCAGAGAGTGTGTAAAAGCCGTGCAGCTACAGAAGTTGGAGGCAACGGTCCTTAGCCTTTTTGTTATAGAGTGTTTGACCCCTATACCGCCACGACCGCTGGTTCGAGTCCCGCTCCAAACAGATTCTGGTATACGGGGAGCTTGTTTGCTGTTTAACAAACAAATATACGGTGACACATTGCTGCCACACATATTATTTTTTCCACTCACGTCATAATAACTACATGTTACGTCGTTAAAACGACATAATTATCTCCTTAAAACGACATGTTTCTTTCTCGTAATAACGACATGTCAGAAAAACAATATGATTTTCCCGTTATAGATTACATTATGTGAGCGAGCTAACCCAGGTGAAAAAGACGTAGTATTAAATGTATTAAATTCAAGTAGTATGTTTATAATACATTTGTATTCCCAACATGCTTATTTGAATTGCAATAAAAATATATTGAATTGCATTTTAATATATTTCTAAAAAGTATACTAGAAGTACTTTTGTATTAAATATATGCTTAGTTATACTTCTAAGAAATATGCTAAATAGAAGCATACTTTTAATGTATTTATAAAAAGTATACTAGAAATACTTTGGTAATAAATATATGCTTAGTTACACTTTTAAGGAATATGCTAAACACAAGCACACTATTAGTATATTTCTAAAAAGTATAGTAGAAATACTATGTTAATAAATATATTTTTAGTTACACTTTTAAGGGATATACTAAACACAAGCATACATTTTAGTGACTTTTTAGTGTATTTACAGAAAACATACTTATGTTACCCAAAGCACTATTTAAATATATTTCTTTTTCACCTGGGAAGCGATTGTCCGCGCTGCTGTCACCGAAGTCCTGACATAAACGAGCATCTACATGCTGCTGAAGTTATAAAAATACACTGTTTTAAATGTATTGTAATATTTTTACTGTAGCGTCATGTTTATTAGGATTAATCTCCAATCTTACTACAATATGCTATCCAATAACTGCACTCAGACCCAGAGGATATGACTCGTTTAAGATGATCAGATCAAACCAGTTATTTTTTAATAATACCGACTCATGGGCTAGGAATATTTCTTTATTTGAGTGACTCAAGTTTGATTTAACAACAAATCTAAATACGAACAAAAATAAATAAAGAGAAATGACAGTTTGATTTTATTATTATTATTATTATCACTATTGTAACATAAATTTTGAAGTTGATGTTAAGGCTGGGGTTGCGTTTGTGTGTGTATTGCTTTTCTGTCCCTCGGGGCTTGCCGTAGGCAAGGTTTGGGCACGCACATGTTAACGAGAGCGCCCAGTTGTGCCATGTGAGTTTCTTTGGAGTTAAGAAGAATAAAAAGTACATCGTTCATATAATACCCGAGTCTCGCTTTCTTTATTTTATTATTTGAAAAGTGTTTAGGCGAACCCGAGGCGTAAGCTCGCTCACATTGGTGGCAGCGGTGTTGTTTTGGGTGAGTTTAGTTAGTGTTGTAAAGTGTTTCGACGGGTGTTAAATTAGTTAGCTTAAAGGGGTCATCGGATGCAAAATTCACTTTTCAAGTTGTTTGAACATAAATGTATGTTGGAAGTGTGTGTACACATCCATCCTATAATTATAAAAATCCATCCAGTGTTTTTTTTTAAATCCCTATTTTAAAATCCCCTTTCTCAAACCAGGCTGTTCTGAGATTCTTGTCAGATAGACATAGTTCTGTACAGGTCCCTCCCACGATAGTTGATTGACAGTAGTGTTTCAGCACAGACTGGACTGATGTCTTACCTTAGACCCACCCTGAGTAAGCTGTCATCAGTCCGCCATTGTGTTGACTCTGGTGCAGGGGAAGACAAGATGTCTCCGATTAAGCGATTGAGGTGCTTTATTGTTGGATGTAATAATGAATATAGCAATTGTCATTTACTCCCCAGACATCTGAGCTACTGAAGACGCAGAAAATTAATGTTACTTTCGCTTTGAAGTGAATGCGCCACTCCCGATCAGCCTAAATGCATCTATGTTCGCTCGAATCATTCGTGATCCAGCCTCAATTACAGAAGAAGTGAGTATAAGGGGTTTTTATGAATCTTTGCAAATCGCCTTTCCTAATATGTGCTAGTTAGCAAGTTGTGCGGCTGAAGTTTACAGTCTGCTCGTCACCCCATGGAAGAGAGGGGCGGGGTCAGCAGAATCAACTTGTGCAAAATGAGCATCCGATGACCCCTTTAAATTCAAAAGTTTATAGTTAGTAGAACGCGCGGTCTACGCATCTTCAGTATGTGGTTCAAGGAGGAAGACAGTTTTAGTATTTTGCAGGACCGTGACAGAGGCAATAGGAGCGTGCAAATTGAATTGCCATCTCCATTCTCCGGGGAGGAGAGACAAAGTTTTGTGTGCTGGACGAGACAGTTTGAAGTTGCTGTCAAAGCGCTCACTGAAGGGAAGCCGTAATAAGGTCGGTGCGAGAACGCGAGAAATGCGATGGATGTGGGATATGTGACTGCTAATGTCGGGCATAATTTGATGGCCGACGGGGCTGGGGCCAGTGTGAACTCTGTGTTGGACATTGGTGGACTGTACAAAGCAATTGATAGGTTAACTAATGAGGTGAGAGACATGAAAGTCGCCCTTAACCGTTTGGAAGACGAGAATGACAGACTGAAAGAGAGAATGAGTCGGAGTGGCAGAGATGAGTGGAGTAGAGCGCGCTCCCCGTCACATGAGTCAGGACAGTGCCGCTGTCAGGGGCGTGCTTGCCGTATGCAGGCATATGAGATGCAGAGAGGCCGCTCTTCTGAAAGAATACCGTTTATGGAGTTTAATAGTCGTAAGGACCACAACTCGGCCCGTAGTCCTATGAGGCGCGCTAACAGCCCCTCGGCCAACCCCAGCATGCGGAGACGAGGCAGTTATGAGGAGGAAACTAGGAGACAGGGAGTGCGCTTCATGACCCCTGGTGATGAGAAGAGGAATTATGAGCCGGGAAACACGCTATAGCTGATGTTGCGGCCCAAACACCAGCTGTATTACACAGGGGCCCGAAACCTGATGACACAACCTTATTGGACACAAACAACTGGGGAACATGGCCCTATTAAGCAGCACGCATACCGTGCATCGCCTGGAAAGCGAGCTGAGATAGAGAGACAGGTGGCGGGCCTACTAGCTGAGGGTGTCATCGAAGAAAGCTGTAGCCCCTGGGCGTCTCCAGTCGTGCTTGTAAAAAAGAAATGTGGTGCCTGGCGCTTCTGCGTTGATTATAGACGCTTGAACAGTATAAGGCTTCTTTGATTATAGACGCTTGAACAGAGGACTCTCATCCTCTGCCACGTGTGGATGACACAGTGGATGCATTAGCGGGCTCCAGATGGTTCAGCATATTGGATTTTTCTAATGGATACTGGCAGGTAGAGGTGGCCGACCAAGACAGAGAAAAAACAGCTTTTACTACAGGTCAGGGTCTATATCAGTGGTGCTGCATGCCGATGGGGCTTTCTAACCCCCCCGCCACTTTTCAGCGGATGATGGAGTTAGTTCTGAGAGGGCTCCCATGGCACATTTGCATGGTGTACCTGGATGATATTTTGATTTATAGTCCAACATTTGACGAGCATTTAACTCATCTGAAAGAAGTGTTTTCCAGAATATGTTTGGCAGGTTTGAAACTGAACCCCAGAAAATGCAACTTGGCCAGGGATCACGTGATATTCCTGGGTCATGTTGTTTCAGAGAAAAGTCTCCAGCCTGACCCGAGAAACACGGAGAAGGTTCGAAATTGGCCAGTTCCACAGTCTCCCTTGGAGGTTAGAGCATTTGTGGGACTGTGTTCATACTATCGACGCTTTGTAAAGGACTTTTCAAAACATGCAGCCCCGCTGAATCAGCTGGTGGGCAAAAATGTGCCTTTTGTATGGAATACCGATTGTGACAACGCATTTAACTACTTGAAGGAAGTGCTGTCTTCAGCTCCCATCGTGACACTGCCTGATTTCAAAGTGCCTTTCAAAGTTTATACGGATGCCTCCAAGTGGGCTGTGGGTGCTGTACTTGCACAGGAAAAAGAGGGACTAGAGCACGTAGTAGCGTATGCCAGCCGCGCCTTGAATGTCACACAGAGACGTTGGTCTACTTTTGACCGGGAGTTATGGGCTATTGTGTGGGCAGTGAGAGAATTCAGACACTATCTTGGACTTTCTTCATTTACTATCATTACGGATCATCGCCCACTTCTAGCGCTACGACGTATGTCCCTTGAGGATGACCCAAGGGGCAGAAGGGCTAGATGGCTTTTGGAATTGGACCCGCTGAATTGGGTCATTCTGCACAAAGAGGGCAATCAACATAAAAATGCTGATGCACTGTCCCGCCGCCCGGTGACACCAGACATTAAGGACAGTGAGACGGCAGTTAAATTGGTGAGGGACGTGAATGTGGTGAATACTGACCAGTCGGATAATGACATGTCTTGTTCTACTGAGACCGCTGAGGTGCCTGAAAAAGAGACTGTATCTAATTTGTCCTTAAGTACTGACAACATTTTGAG